GGGGGCGGGAGCCGGGCGCGGGGCGGGAGGTCAGTCGCGGCGGGGAGACGCGAAAGGGCCTGGAGCTCGCAGCGAAGCGGGGCAGCGCGTCGGAGGGACACATACACAGGTCCAGGGTGACAAGGTCCGGGAACTGGCAGCTGCTCAGGAAGGCCCACGTCTCGGCCGGGAGCTTGGCCGAGTGGAGCTGGAGCACACGCAGGCCGCGGCAAACCAGCGGCACCGGCGTCAAGACCGATTCCACCGGGCGTCGGGGGGAGTCGCGTGGCCGTGACACGCAGATGCTCAGCAGCTCCGGCTGCTTGCGCAGGAAGTAGTATATCCGATCGGGACAGATGTGGCCTGGATGGTGGCATGTGTGTGTGTGTGTGTGTGTGTGTGTGTGTGTGTGTAGGAGAGTGAGTGACAAAAAAAGATGACGGCGGGCGGCTTCAGATCGGGATGTGCAACAGCCGGCACGGCAAGGGCAGGGCACGCGCGAGGGCGCACGACCAGACCACATTGCCCCCCTGCCCACCTGCCCGCAGGGCCTCGCTGGATGCGCTCACTCCGTCGGCCCCGGCTGGCGTGGCACGTACCCTTCAGCTGGATGTACTTGAAGCCTGGCCAGCGAGTCGCCATGAAGGCCATGCGTCGACTGGTGGTGGCCAGCGCGGCGATGGTGGCCGCGCAGGAAATGTGGCTCAGGACCTGGTCCATGATCTCGGTGGGCAGGGCTTGGAGCAGGGAGAAGCTGGACGGCGGGGTCGGGGGCGGTGGGGTGGCGGCCATCGGGTGCAGAGACGCCGGGTAGTGGATCACCATGCCAGGGGTCTCGGGGCAGGAGCCGACCGGCGACCCGGGCCCAGGGCGCCGAGGCGTCATGGCCGTGTCCGTCGCCGCCAACGGGGGCGTTTGGGGACCGGTGGGGATGTGGCTTTGGATCGGACCCGAGGAGGAGTGTGGCTGTTGCTGCTGCTGCTGCTGCTGCTGCTGCTGCTGCTGCTGCTGCTGCTGCTGCTGCTGCTGCTGCTGCTGCTGCTGCTGCTGCTGCTGCGACGACGACGACGATGGCGGCGGCGGCGGCGGCGGCGCGGCAACCAGGGGTGGCGGCTCCGACAGCGGGCCCTGCGGCGCAGGTGACCGGAGTGTGGCCAGGGACGTCGATGCAAAGAGCAGCCCGCGGGGGCCTTCCTCGTCTAGTTGGCACTCGCTGTCACTCAGAAGCAAGAGCTCGGAGGCTGGCCGAGGGGGGTCAGTACGAATCAGGGGGCACACAGGGGCCAGAGGGGGAGGGGGGCTGAGAGGACAGCGGAGGGGCAGCGCGCGTGCCCAGCACGGCGCCGAGCACGCAAACCCCAGGGCCCGGTGCGCATACAGAGTGGGGAAGGCATGGGGAAATCCGAGAGAGAGGGAGAGAGAGAGAGAGAGACGAGGAGAGCAGGGCAGGGCCACGTACAGGGGGTGTCTCCAGGAGCGAGGGGGGGCTCGCCCTGCAGCGCGTGCCCTGGCCGACGACAAGCTTTCAGCGAGGGCGAGAGGTTCGGGCAGACGGTGGTCCGGTCGGGGCCGGCATGGCGCTTGGCCGGGCGCCCATGCCTGGCCAGGTGCGACATGGGCCCGCCGGCGTTGGGTGCGCCGGCCCCGTCGCCGGTGCCGTCATCATCGGGCCGGGGGCGCCTGGTGGCTGAAATGATGGCCATCTGTCAGCCGGAGGAAAGGGCAACAGGGTGGGGGAGGCGCGCCGCGCGAGAGCCACCGAGAGGCAGCCACAGCTGGCGGAAACCAAGAGCAAGGCGGGGGCCGCGCGCCAGGGAACTGGGGGGAGGGGGGGGGGGAGGGGGGAGAGGAGGCGGTCGTGCTGGCACTGGTGCATCGCTGGTCCGCAGCGGGCGTCGGCAAATAGCCCGCATGCTGGCGGCCGATCGTGCAGGCGGGCCTCGGGCGCGCCGCGGCAAGAACGGTGTCTGCCCGTCGAGCGGTGAGGCATGCTCCAGGGTGTGTGCAGCCATCCCCGGGCGGAACGGCACCTGCAAGCTGGGCGGCAGGCCGACTGGCCGACCGCCGATGGGCCCGGCAGAGGGGGGCCCCGGATCCCGGGGCCCGGGATGTCCCCGGGCAGGCGGCCTGGGCGGAAGGAAACACGCAGGTGACGATCTGGCCCCACGGCCACTGGTGGGGGCCCTGGCCGGGCGGCCCGCGCCAGCAAGCAACCGAGAGGGGAGGGAGGGGGGCGGATTCTCACACATGCGCGCGCGCGCGCTCGCCCGCCCGCCCGCCCGCCCGCCCCTGCCCGGCCAGATTGCGGGTTGACAGAGGGAGATGGCTCGGCCGTTTTACCCTGGCCCACAGGGGCGGGCATCCTGGCGGATGGCTCACGCATCTCGCTCAGGCCCAAGGGGGCGGGCGCAGGCCGATCGCCGAGGACCGCTCCGCAAAGGGCGAGGGGGACGGGACAGGTATTTATTTAGGTGCGTGGGTGCTGGGCCTCCCCCGCCCCGCCGCGCGCCAAGGTAACGATCTGTTATTTAAAGAGCGGCCGAAGAAACTGCCACGCCCAGCGGTTACACTTTGGCGTGTCCATTCTCCGGGGCCGGCCCTCGCCGGCTCCCCCCTCCCGGGGCGGGGGGGTCCATGCGCTGCGCCCAAGGACCGGGGCGCAGAATACTGGGTCTATTAATAATCTGGCTGGATATTTGCCGTCTGGCCGGAGCAACATTGGCCAGCCCAGCCCCTCCCCCCCCCCCCGGCTTGCCCGAACAGAGGCAGCGTGCGGAAGAGGGGACGGCCGCCGGTCGGCGCGCTGGGGCAGGAGAATGGGGGGCGACGGGGAGATCTAATGGCACAATTCATCTAACGTAACTGTCATGCCGCCGGTTGGCATGTGGGCCCCCGGCCGGCGGAGGGGGCCAGCTCGTCGCATCTCGGCGGCAGATCATGTGTCCCCGGGGCACTTGACGCCTGAGATCATCCAGCCAGATCACAAGGCGACTATCTCCCGTCCCTGCCGGGCAGGGGCTACTGGCGCGGCCGCGGCCGCAGCCGCGAGCCAGTGGACTCCCCTGGGGGCGTCCCTCGCCCGCCGGGCGGCGTCCCTCGATGTGCCCCGGGCCCGGCTCGGGTGCCAGGCTGCTCTCCGGTTGTTTTTTTTCGTCCCCGCCCCCCCTCACGGGGGCGGGGCGGTCCCCGGAGTGTGGGCCCCTCGTCATGGGCACGCCCGCTGAGTGCGCGCCGGGCAGGCCGGGGCGCTCGGCCGGCGAGCATGCCGCGGCGGCCCCCCGGGGGGGGGGGGCACACGGCTCTCTACTTCCCATCGGGCCTGGGGCGAGGGCAGGGGCCTCGGCCCCGTCGCCTGAAGCCGAGACGTGCTCGAGGGAGGCGGGCCCGATCGGGGGTGGCTGATGGCACGTACACGCGTGCGTCTGTGCGTGTTATGCCCCTCCCCCGGCCCCCCCCCCCCTCCGCGGGTTCCGCGCGAGCGCGGAGAATGCGTCCCTCTTG